CCGAGTATACAATATTTGTTGGTGATTTGGCTGCTGATGTGACGGATTATGTGCTACAAGAGACATTCAAACCCGTGTATTCATCAGTAAAAGGTGCAAAAGTTGTAACAGATAGAATTACTGGACGTACCAAGGGATATGGATTTGTCAAGTTCGCTGATGAGAGTGAACAATTGCGTGCTATGACTGAAATGAATGGTGTACTTTGTTCATCTAGGCCCATGAGGATTGGCCCGGCTGCAAACAAGAAACCAATGGGTACCCCCCAGAAAGGTATGGCCGTGTCACCCTTTCATCTGCTATGCTGAAGGTGGACCTTTTTTGTTCTTTTTTTGTTTGCAGTTTGAACTGTACTGTTTGTTGTCTGCATTCCTGATATGGGGCACACAAAGATGCCATAAATCTCTTGATGTGTTCAGAGTCTATAAGTTGATTGTTCTTTAAGCTTTGCGCTTGAAGTAGTGGAATCATTAAGATCCTTTTCTTCCAGTACTTAACTTTCTACACTTGGGGGAATTTAATTGTTTCAAAATGTGCACAAACTTATAAAACTCGTGTTGTCTCAAAGCAGGAAACAGAGAGGCTCTCATATGGGGGCCTGGAACTGATTTCAGCTGAAATGATTCCACTTTAGTGCGTGGCCTCATTTTAGGTCAGTGTATTTGTTTATGTCACGCTTCCTTACTTCGTATTCTTGTGGCATCTTATGCTACATTCAGTTAATTTCCAGTTCCTGAATTACTATTACAAGCCTTCGTAAATTATTTTCATTTCTATCAAAATTTAAATTTCCTTCTTTCATTTTACCAGTTTATTTAATTCCTCAGCTGGCCTTGTGTTATTTCAGTTAGGATCTATCTTGTACACCTTTAAATAATGCTGCGGCAAGCTGTTTCAGTTCATTTCCTTACAATTCTTTTCCTTCTTTTGTGTGTCACGTTCACAGCTGTCTGTGTTAATGGTGTTTGCTACCAAGTCTGGGGACTCAACTTGATCTATCAACACCTTTTCAGCTCATCTCCCTATGAACTGCCTTAACAGTCTTTTTTAAGGCATAATACATAAACATGTGCCTATTTGTAGGGTGCCATGTAGGACGAATGTGCCTATTTGTTCAATTTTATAAAAGTTTAAGTGCCTACTTGTGCACACCCAAAGTTAAAGGTCATAGTTGCCAGTTAACGCCAGTATTACGCCTTTTTTTAACAAGGGTCCATGCCACAAACATTGGACTTTTAAATTCATGTCTTTCAAAGGGCGTGCATTCACGTGTAGGCTATAAAGAAATGCTTATGGATACTTATTTGTTTTAATTTTGTGTTTTTTATGTGTTTGAATGCATTCATCTGTTTCCCCTGCTCATGGATTTTCTTTCCAGAACATGTGTGGAAATGTAAAATAATTGTTATAATGAATTAGAAGGACCTCACACTCTACTATCTACATGTATAAAGCTTAGGTCAATTGCTGTGTAGCCTGTCTTTGTTTCTTCTTTTATCCTCTTGTGTTTCTGTCCATTTCTCTCTACGTGCTGGAGAGTCAAATTTCTGACCATAGATGCTATAGCACTTTTTGATGATTACATTTCTACTCACATCTTTTACCATTGCAGCTACCTACCAAAATCCTCAAGCTACTCAAGGCGAAAGTGACCCCAATAATACAACTGTGGGTAGCTTGTTTCGATGTTAAGTTTGTTTTTCTAGTATATGCACTTCTAACCTTTCATACTCAAATGAACAGATATTTGTTGGTGGTTTGGATCCCAGTGTTGCAGAAGAACATTTGCGACAAGTTTTCTCCCCATACGGTGAATTGGTTCACGTGAAAATAGTGGCTGGAAAGCGCTGTGGCTTTGTTCAGTTTGGTAGTAGGTAATGCCAGATGCAATTAATAATGTCTATTGCTAGATTTCTTGTCCATGTTCTTTTCTTATGTTCTATCACTCGGCATTTCCAGAGCTTCTGCTGAGCAGGCTTTGTCAAGCTTGAATGGCACACAATTGGGAGGACAAAGCATTCGGCTTTCTTGGGGGCGTAGCCCCTCTAACAAACAGGTTTTTGGCCTATCTTTGCTGTGTTAAACTTAGACAAATCAGCTTTTGTGCTGACTGTGATTATTCTATGTAGTCCGACCAGACTCAATGGGGTGGTAGTGCTGGTGGTGGTGCTGGTGCTGGTGCATATTATGGGTATGCCCAAGGATATGAGGCTTATGGATATGCTCCTCCCGCTCAGGACCCTAATATGTATTACGGGAATTACCCAGGATATGGGAATTATCAGCAGCCACAGCAGGTATGACAAATATGGCCTTGAAGGTCTGGCTTGCCATTTTGCATTCCCTGAGTTAGGCCTTTTCACTTTCTGGATAGTCTAGGATTTCGTTGGGACTTTCTTATGGCTATATCTGCATCTTCTTCAACAGTATTTGCTCATCCGTTGTTCTCTTCATTTGCAGTGATGTTAATTATTTTCAAGGAGGCTAAGAAGTAGACGACGTTCAAGTTTCCAGTGCTTAGGCTGATCTTTCCCCTCGGTGTGACTGGTTGTACAATGATTTGATAAACTGAGTGATTGTGAGTTTTTGTGGGACATTTTCTTTTCTCCTGTCTGTAACTTTGAGTTTGCTATGACACTAACGTGTACTGAAACATTCCGAGCAGTATCTTGACCTGTGTGTAAACTTTGTTAAGTTTTTTCTTACCATTTCCTGTATTCGATTGCATTTGGTTTAATGTTCGTTCAGATTTAATTGTGAGCAGCATCTAGTAAATCTGATGCTTATAATTGACGAATAAAGATGCTAGAATAGCTGTATTTTAATCTGAAAGAGATGTGAAATTCTTTAGCTGGTTTTATCAATTTCTACTCTTTATTCACAACTAGGGGTGGCAAAATCAAATCCAATCTCGTATGTGATAGAAAATAGCATTCACAGCGGAAGCATACCAGAATCATACATCTTGCATGAGTATAGACAACAATCACAAATATGTATCACATACAAGGTATGCTGAAAATTAACTCAGGACTACCTCTTGAAGCGTGTGCAGATATCTTGAAGCAAATCTGACTCCAGCTCTACAGTCTTCTGCAGTGATCCCAATTAACAATTGAACTACCTCAATACTTGGGTGGGCAAGTATTGTATAGAATACTGAATTGACTCTCTAGGTAAGAAGAATCCCTACTTATAGAGCTCTCTTCCTAGTCCAAAGAGGATTCCTTTTTCTTTCAAGAAAACCAAGAAACACACGTTTCTTTTTCCAAGAAGGAACACGTTTCTCTTTTTTCTTTTTACCAAAAAAATAAGATTCTGAGTTCTAGTTAAATTGGGCACTGGAGGGACCACAGAATTTATTACTGAGGCTTCCTATTATGGAAATAATTCCAAATAATTAATTTGAATTATTCTTACCATAATAAATTACAAATCATTCCACTAAAAATTCGTAAGTGCACTCCTCTATATATATTTCGAAATTCACCATTAAACACTTATGTAATTCCCCATGTTAAGATTCCAGATACTAATCAATAAATTAAATTACTAACGAATTTAATTCAATGATTAATTTCCTTTAGAGCAACACTTAACTTATTTCATGTGCGAGATTCATAAATCTACCGGCCGGGTTTACACATGAAAACTTATAAGTTTCTCATAAAAAGGTGTATCACCAATATATATTATTATCATCCAATCTACCAGGCATATTGACCCATCTCAGAATCTCACCTTTTAATAAATCAAAACAATAATTAATATATACAGATCATAATCGTTATATCAAGATTAAGAATATAAGTACATTTAACAATTTAGAGAATATGTTTTTATCAGTTAGTCTAAAACCTCTATCTCTGCTTGGTCCCGTTCAATACATACAAAATGCACTAGCACGAGAAGTTAGAACTATACCATTCTCATAATCAAGATAAATTACATTTAATCTCGTGCTACAATCTTTCTGATGGTTTTGTCCAAAATTTCCATCTACGATTGTGAACTATAACTTTTAACTTATAAGAACCGATGATTTAATCTTCTGTGTATAAGCTTAAACTCTATACACCAAATCATCTACTATATAAGTTAAGGACACATATATGACAATTGATCTATTTAATGTAACACTTTATTAAATTGAATAAATGAATAAACAATTGTTCAATAATAATACTTTATCAAAACGCATGGTTAATAGTATATCCTAACAGTATGTTGGGTAAGTTTGAATGGGTTATTTTTAACTTATTTTTTTAATCAAACCCAACCTTCTCTGTCATCCCCTCCCCTAATATTGTATGTTGTGCAAGTCTTCTACTGTTTAGATGTCTTAAATAATTAAGATTAAAATCAATTGAGTTGTTTCTTTATGTTATATGATACAAACTATGATTCCTTTCAGATGCGCCAATCCAAAAAAATCGATCACAAACAATCTCAACTGCACAAACATAAAATGGGACAGAGGGATTAATAAAAGAGAAAAAGGACAAATATACCGTTGAACTATTCTAAATGATATGCAGATATCATCCGGAGTGTGTATATATGCTTTAGTTTTTAGATGATAGAGAAAAATGACAAATATACCCTCGAACTATCCTAAATGGTATGCAGATACCATCCGTCATACTTTTGTCATGTGTAGGATTTAGTCTTCCGTTAGAGTGGAGGGTATATATGCTCTAGTTTTTAGACGACAGGGACACCAATATCCCAAAGGGTATATATGCTCTAGTTTTTAGACGACAGATACACCAATGTCCCAAAAGTATGATAGAAGATATCTGCATACCATTTACGATAGTTCGGAGATATATTTATTCTTTTTTCCTTAATAAAATATCTATTTTATCTTTAGTTAAATAATTTTTAACTGCACAAACATCTAATCACAAATTTTAAAAATCTTTATAAACTCTATGTAAGTCAAATCAACTCAACATATAAAATGAGAGGGGAGAGTAAGAAATATGGAAAGTGTGAACGCAGAAAAGAAAAAAGCTGGAGAGATTGGGAATTATAGGTGTGAAACAAACAAAAAAGGGCGGTAATTGGGGAAAAAAGGAAACCAAAAAAAGCAATGACTGATGGTCTTTTAGTTACCAATTTTCAAAAAAAAAAAGCTTACATCAAAATCCATCAGCACCAATAATGGAGCTCAAATTGAAGATAATACTACTACTGTTACTCTCTTTGACGCCCATTTCGTTCATCTGTGCAACAATCCGAGCTGGAGAAGAAGTAGAATATCTCCGACCTCCGCCGCGTAAAGCCTTTCGTTTGCCATGGGATCCAAAATCTTCCTCTCAACCTCAGCAGGTAATGAGGCGGATCTAGAATTTTAAGTTTTTTCTGTGTGTCAATTTACGTGATACCGATAGCAAATCAAAGTTACTCTAAGCAATAATTTTAAAATGTATGAACACTAAAATAAGTGTAACTTATATAGTGGTACTTAATTTTATTTTTTTGAATATTTAAGTTTTAATTTTAAAATATTGAGTTGATTTAAGCCAAATTTACTCTCGATAAGTAAAATGTGTCACATAGATTGAAACAGAGAGGTACAGAGAGGGTATAAGGAGGTGAGTAAAATGTGTCATATAGATTGAGACAAAGAGATATCGAGGGAAGAGATTTTTTGAGAATGAGTGCAGACTTACTGGAAGAGATATATTGTAATTTTGTAAAAAATTCAGCTGCAACATGTCTTTCTGTTAATATTATTTGGTGTTCATTTCTACTGATTTCAGCTGAAGTTATTAGGATTTGGGTCTGGATTATATCCGGATATTGTTGTTTAGCTGAGTCTAGGAGTTTTAATTACTCTTTGTAACAATATGATGTGAAATTAAGGGTGCTCAGTTTTCTTCTTTTGATCTGTTAAGGCTTTGAATTCGTTCAATGCTTTGCTATGATTTGGTTTGTCCTTACTGATTGAAACTCCTTGTTTTGTGTTCCCATTGTGTTAGCCCAAAGACTCAACCGTCTTTGAGCTCCTGAAGTTACCAATTTTGATGGTGTCTGTGTTTTCATACTTCATAGGAAGTAGTAGTTTTGATTTTCTACGCGTTGCTTAGCATGACATCAATGTGCAATGTAGTTTAATTAGCGTCAATTAAGCTCAATACACTCCAAAGCTCTGTTCTTTTGGGCTTTCGTTTTCTTTTTGTTTATTCAAACTGGTGTTAGGTCCTGTTTAGGAGGATGTAAAATGTTTCCACGGTCATTATGTTAGTCAAAGGCGGAGCCAGGATTTAATGTTTGTATGTTCTAAAGTAGCGAAAAGATTAGAGTGTCTTTGAAATGTTTCCACGGTCATCATGTTAGTCAAAGGCGGAGCCAGGATTTAAGTCATCATGTTAGTCAAAGGCAGAGCCAGGATTTAACGTCTGTGGGTTCTAAAGTAGTGAAAAGATTAGAGTGACCAATGGGTTTCAAACCCACATTCCGCAGAAAGAAGGCCTTCGCTGGGCAGGCAGAGACCACTGAGCCATTACCTCTCTTTGACTGTGGATTCACAGGAAATAGTTATATACCTTTGTATTGGTATTTTAGTACGAACATAGGGACTACGCAAAAGCTACTGGGTTCACCCCGTGTAATATAGTAGCTCCTCCCTGATGTTAGTGGAATGCTATTATAACGAAGGTGGAGGTTGGCATGAAGGGTGGTGTAAAGAACTACTAATATTTCTTGGATTCATTTCAATTCGACTAACTTCTCTTTCTCTCTTTAGTTTCTTGATTCAGAGCGCAAACCGAACTTTTGCAACCTATCAAGCATAAAAAAGGAAACATTTTATGTTGTTCCAAATTGGTTTACTGTTGCTGTTTTGGTGAATGAATGTAGCTGGTATAGTTGATCATGTGCCTTAATATTGTCATTGCAGGTTCACATCTCATTAGCTGGAGACAAACACATAAGGGTATCATGGGTCACAACTGATAAATCTTCTCCTTCAATTGTTGAATATGGAACATCCACTGGAAAATATAGTTACAAAGCTCAAGGAGAGAGTACCAAGTACAGTTACGTGTTATATCGTTCTGGAATGATACATCATACTGTGATTGGACCATTGCAAGACAACACAGTGTACTTCTACAGATGTGGTGGAGAAGATCCGGAGTTCCAGTTCAAAACTCCACCGTCTAAGTTTCCCGTTACTTTTGCTGTGGCAGGAGATTTAGGCCAAACTGGATGGACGAAGTCAACTTTAGACCATATAGACCAATGTAAATATGATGTTCATTTGCTCCCCGGTGACCTTTCTTATGCTGATTATATTCAACACAGGTGGGACACATTTGGTCAACTGGTTCAGCCGCTGGCTAGTGCAAGACCATGGATGGTGACTCAAGGGAATCATGAAAAAGAATACATACCATTCGTTGTGGATGAATTTATATCTTACAACTCCAGGTGGAAGATGCCATTTGAGGAGAGTGGATCTACTTCGAATCTCTACTATTCATTTGACGTTGCTGGGGTTCATACAATCATGCTTGGTTCTTATACCGACTATGATGACTACTCTGATCAATATCGATGGCTGAAGGTTAGCTGAACTCTCATTTATTACTGAAAAGCTTAGCAACTCGTCGTTTTGCTAATATAAATGCATTTATTGGAAATTCAATTGTAGGCTGATCTTCGAAAGGTTGATCGTAAAAAGACTCCTTGGTTGGTTGTGTTATTCCATGTGCCATGGTATAATAGTAATGAGGCTCATCAAGGTGAAGCTGATGACATGATGACAGCTATGGAGCCTCTGTTGTATGCAGCTGGTGCAGATATAGTGTTTGCTGGGCATGTTCATGCTTATGAACGCACGGTATGCCTAGCTTGCTAATTTTCTTGTTTACTCTTGATTATTGGATACTCGTAGATGATGCAATTCATTTTTCTTTTACAACAGAGACGAGTTTATAATGGTAAACCTGATCCTTGTGGCGCTGTCCACATAACAATTGGTGATGGGGGAAATAAAGAAGGTTTAGCGCGCAAGTAAGTATTCCTTGTAGTAATTTTTCTCTCCATGCTGAGCGCAAGATCCTTAAAATGGCAATGGAAACAAGAACTTGTTTAGTTCATTAATGATCTCTGTATTCTGTTTCTGAGTTGAACAATTGACAACAAAGGGCAATTTCTCACAAAGTGCTTACTCAGGCTTTGTAGAGTGGAAATTATTATGACAGTGAGCTTACATGTAGTGGCGAATTATTAACAGGTACAAACTACCCCAACCAGAATGGTCTGTTTTCCGCGAAGCAAGCTTTGGCCATGGTGAACTTGCGATAATTAATTCAACTCATGCCTCTTGGAGTTGGCATAGAAATGATGATGATGAACCAGTGAGATCTGATCAGGTTTCGATTACCTCGTTGATTGATTCAGGATGCAGCAGCATTAGAGTCATGAACTAAGAGAAATCCTTGAAGCTTTACTTGTAACAGAAACCAACTACTTGTTCTTATTATTAAGTAATTTAGGAGATATATTGATTAATGAACAGAAAGGATCATTAGCTCCTTAGTTTTAGCCTCTAAATGAAATGTACTTAGTTATAGGATTATTACTTACTACTTACCTTCAATTATGCTTGTACTTGAGTACCAATATTAGTTATCACTCGTGAATTAACAGCCTTTATCCTTGTGTGAATCATACATCAGCAGATATTTCTTGCATAAGCCACATGAAGGTGACAAAGATGACCAAACTACATACATCGATATTTTTGCATTTGTTATATTTAAACATCATTCAATGATAAAGATTCAGTTGAAGATAATAGTATAGACCAAACAGAAAAAGGAACATTGGATAATCGATAAAAAGGTAATGTCTCTTGTTGCTCAAATGTACGTTGAATACCATGCCATAGGAAAGAAAAGTTTCAATTTTCTTTTACTAATTGCTCTGTAGAAAACATCTATAATTCAGAAGCATTAGCGTGAACGTTACATGTAACTCGAGTAGTAGTCTATCAACTACAGGATTTCAGAAACTAGTTTTTCACCTGCTGAAAGAGGACTGGTATTGCATTAATAACAACCACTAGTCCCTGCTTGCATTTCTTAGGCATCTGTGAGTAAGGTGTGATCTGAGCTGCCTAATTTAGCACATCTCATTAGCAAAACCCAGGATAATGTCATTGAACATTTTGGTCAGTTCTTCTATAACAAGTTCAAGCAACAGTCGAGAAGCCTTGCAGATTCATTTGCCAAATGAAGATTGTGAATGCCTTGCTCCAAGATGGAAGCTCGAAATTTCAAAAGACATCTGTAAGCTTAAGTTCTATTCAGGAGCTGGAGTTCTGTTCTTCATCTTTTTTGCCTCTCCAGAGAATAATCTGCTCATTTTTGAACAAGATAGGAACACATGGTACCAGATCCTGAAATTAATAAAGAACGAAATGAAACTCTCACTCATCGCACATTGAAACTGAAAAGGGTGGGGGTGGGGATGAGGATACAGAATATATGAAATTTAACACCCCCTCCCCATAGATGTTTCCTGAGTTAGTATACCACAAAGAGAGGAGAAACAAGCAAACAAGGTTTCCGAGAATGGGGGAGAATCTGTATCCCAGTTCAGTAGTTATTTGATTTATCGTCATAACATAATGTCAAGGTAAACAGACAATTCCAGTGGTAGGAAACTTTGTTTCTAAGACCGAAAAGGGGTATCAATACTTGTTTAAGCATTGGAAGAGAGTTGAAAGCTGATGCAAGATATATGAGTCATACCCGTAACTTAACACCAATTCTTTTGCAATCACTTGTTCCCACGTGGGTACAATCTAATCTAACAACTTCTTCTGTTTCAAAAGCCGCTCTGACTTTGCCCACCACATTCACGTACACCCCATTTCTGCCTAGAAGAGAGGCATGTAACAATCAGCAATTACAGAAGGCAATCTGTTGACTTGTTTCTAATAAAGAGAAAATACAAGTTACTCACTGAGTTTCGTTAAAGGAGGAGCATTGAGCCCTTCGTTCCTCATTGCCTTTGTTTCTTCAAATGTCAGGCCATCAGCAACGTTCTTCACAAGCTTCGGATATATTGGAGCCAAAGGCTTCCACAGCATCACAGGAACAGTAGGTCTACTTTTGGGATCATAATGTCGACCACGATATAAGAGTAAGATATTAATATGGCGATAGATAACTTTTCCACCTGATTTGTCCTACAATGATACTGTGCTTTGCATCAGCGACAGAAGTGTTCATTTGTAAAAGCTTAAAGAAATCTACATCCAAATATATGTGCCAGCACTCTGGCATTCAGATCACAAACCTCGAGATGGGAGCATATGTTATCCATGTCAAGAGTTGGCACCCCCAAGCACTTAATCCTTACAGCTTCAGCCTTCTTCCAATAGTTATGGATATCTTCCAGCATATTGTGAGTAACTCCACCCCGCCCTAACACACAATAATGCTATGTAATCATGAAAAAGTATGGATCAAATTGAATTGAATGCAGTGATCATTATACCAAGATGTAAATGAGGATGCAAATTTATATCCTCGGAGACAAATATCAATCATCTGTGAAACAGAAGCCATATGTGCAAGATATCTGCTTAGCTCAACTAGCCTCAAACCTAAACTAGAAAGGATTCTTTGTTCTTTGATATTCGATTCATCATAATAATTTGACCGTCTTTATGTTGGCTGTCAACTTCCTTTCCTGTTTATCTCGGCTAAGGTGGAGTTCATATATACAAAAACATATCACAACTTCTTGAGTAAGTACACAATAACAAAATTTACTCAGAATGCAAACACAAATGACTCTGTCCTACTTAGCAAAGACAAACGGACAATCACATAATTCATTGCAGAAGGCTGACATTACTCATTATACGTCAACCTCTCTATAACAACCACTCACTATAACATCCGAACTTTTATGCTAAAAGTTACCTCTCTACAACAAATTTCTACTTCTAACAACGACAACAACCATCATTATCACATTACTCATTGTAAAATTATCCCTCTATAGGCTTGTTGAAATTCAGTCAATCAATCAACTTCGCCTCAATCCAAACAAGTTTTGCAGCTAAATGAACCTTAATATATCCATTCTGCTCTAATTTTTTCCATCTTCCGCGCATCCCGCAGCTACTATACTAGTTGTTGCTTAAAACAAGTTAAAGGGGTCTTATTGAAATTACCCAAATTCATTTGACGAGAGCAATCGTTGTGACGATACTTCTCGACCAGCTCCGCCGTTTCCTCCTCTGAGAGCGGTTTTCCGAGGATCCGCCGTCGCTCCTCAGCCACTTTCTCCAAATCCACCGGCTGTAAACGCGGAGCTGAAGTTCCGGTCCATTTTCTATCAAGCCGTCCCGGTCCAAACGGAGAGAACCGTGGCGGTTCACGGAAACCAATTGGCTCAACTGCCGGGTTGGTTTCAGAGTAAGAGTATCGAAAATCAAAGGGCAAGTCGGAATTGACAGTAAAGTTGAGGGCTTTTTCAGAATCTTCATTAGATGCAGCATTTTCATGCTTTTCTGTTATCGATTTCTTGGGTTTATGGGTTTTTAAGGTGGAGGAAAATGGAGGGTCGAATATATCTTGTTGCTCTGGCTGAGAATGGAACAGAGAAGGGGAAAAGTTGATGAATGATAACGAGGGGATTTTGTAATAGAGGATACTATGTGCTTGAACGGTTAAACGCCATGGAAATAGCTTCATCATTCTAAGCTCTCACTGTGTGTTCGAAGCTCTGTGAAGAAGAAAACATGGGGAAAGGTAGAGCAACAAAAATATAAATTATAAAAATTTACCTAAAATAAAAATAAATATAAATTACCATTTCTCTCTATTCCTTTTTTTTTTTTTTTAATGTTGTAAAACAAAATTCTCCGTATTCCTGTCCGATGCACAAAGCATCCCATGTTAGCAAGGGTCCTGGAAAGACCACACCTAAATGATACTCCCTTTGTCCCTAATTATTTGTCCACTTTTGAATTGACACACCTATTAAGAAATCAATTAATGACATAGTGAGTTTACCATTTTACCCCTATTAATTATGAAGTGGATGAAAAGTTCTGCATTTTTCAAAGTAATTAGTCATTTAATTGAGGGTATAATAGGTAAAAAAAATTTGTCCTTTCTTGATTTGTCAAAATGGACAAGTAATTAGAGACAACTATAAAAAGAAAAGTGGACAAGTAATTAGAGACAGGAGGAGTATGATTTAAACAACCTATCTTAATGCAAGCATTAATGACTGCTTTCACGATTCGAACCCATGACCTATAGAAACTTAACTATTACTCCAAGATTCCCCTTTCGCTTCGAACAAATTGTTAAAAATATTTCTTTGGCAGAAGTTTAGAATGCATCACTAAAGTTTAAGGCTTGCTTTCTTGTATACTTGTCCTTTTTTATGTTATGGTATTGGTAATGTAAGATTGGTCTATGATGTTCATAATACACACCCTAGACATTATATTTAGCCCCACCACCATCATCATCATCTCAAGGATGTGTAATTTACCTTAATTCAATGAACACTGAGGCTTATCTATCATCATCAAAGGTTGCACAAAATTTTGGGCTTAGGCCAACATGACTTTAAACGCGTTACTAGAATCTTAAACTTACTTCTTTATATATCAACATCTCTAGAGTTTACATACATCCTGATGACGCCGAGATATGCCCTATTATCATCTCAAATATGTGAAGTTTGTCTGTACATGAATGAATACTTGAGGTTTGTCTAAACATCACCCAATGTTTGCATGCAAAGTTTGACTCTGATATTGCATACATAATCCAGCACACTAGTAATGTATCTGCTCTGAATAATCTAGGGCTGCATAGCCTTTAAAACGCGTTGCCAAGAGGGTTACACTAGGCCTGAACTTCTAATATCTTCTTAAGGGAAATGTGTTATGATAAGAGATTTTGCATAAGGGGATGTTTGAAACCATATTCTCTTTTTCCTTTGTGGTAACATCTTTTAATTTGAAGAGTTCTTGCACATGCTTATGGATTTCCCATTTTTAAACGTGTTTGTCCTTTTCTTGCAATGCTTGTTCTCTAAATTACAACCACACTAATAAAGAGTTTTTCTTTAAGACAGTTGAGACTATTAGCTCCTTCAAAAGCAACAAGATTCATAGAATAAACTGATACAAAATACAACTCAAATTTAACAATCCTAATACCAAATACTGGTAGCAGGTACCTATGAAACTAATCATGCTACGCCCAAGCTACTACCGACATATAGTCCTACAAAGTGATGAATGAGGAGGGTAGAGCGTAAACAGACCTTATCCCTACCTCAGACATAGATATGTAGTTTCCGATAGACCCTCGGCTCAAGGAAAAACAAATCCAAAGCAGTTCCAAACATACAAAAAGAAGTACTAGCATATTCATCTAAAAAGAGACTTGGATAATCTCATTATCATCTAGTGATTCAAACAAAGCTAAGTGAACTTAAGAACACCATTGGTCATTCAAATTTTAGTCACAATTGGAGAATCTTTGCCTCATTCCCTCATCTTTGCATCTCCTCTGATCTACAACCATAGACTCAAACACATCCAACAAATGATCTAATCCTTCACAATCTTTTTCTCCAACAGCTTTCAAAGCATATACAATACTCTCAAT